GTTTCAGTAATTGTTTTCACAACACGGTAGCTTTATATTATTGGAAGGAAAATTAGGAAAGTAGACAACAGAAGTCACTTGTAGTTATGGATCATGAACTGCAAATTCTGTGCCCAGACTACTACAACTCCTCCCCATGACATTATGCATTAAAAATCATTGGACGTGTTCCAAGTGGGGGGCAGAAGACAGATCAGCATTGTCCATCGGTGGCTCCAGCTGTGTTAGTCACGTCCCCGCTGCGTCAGCATGTCACGCTGTAGTCCTTACAGCCACAGGAGACATGAGGGTGATAACACTGCCCTGATTTCAGAAGGTGGGTGACACCAGAATACAGGAAGTGGAATCTCTGCACTGGTCTAGCAGGTTCAGGGAGCAAGTTTGTGCATTAGCGGGAAGGGAAAAATCCCCCAAAACATCACTTTAATGCTGCAGGACACATTTTTCAAGATCTGACTTTACTTTTTAGTAAAAATAGGCACCAAAACTCAACTAATATTCCATGCCTTATATACAAGATATTTTCCAGGGGCAGGCTGCTGTTCAGTCTGCGTAACTGAGTTTGTTGGACACAATAAGGTCTTGGAAGGGCCATGAGACACACACACACACACACACACACACACAACCACATTTCTTCATCTGGAATATGGGTTGTTTGTATATGGGTGGAGTTTAGTGTCACTATAATCAAAATGAATGGGCTGCTTTTAGGCAACAAGTAAAGAATGCCATACAAATAATGTAACTCAACAGACAGATGTAAATGCATTTACCGTCATCTTTTATAGGTAAGAAATACAGATGCACCGATACTGAGCATTTGGGAAGAGTACCCGTACTCAGCCAAATACTTCCATACTTATCCTGATACCAGAACTTCCGGTCAGAGGGAGATTCCCTCTGACCGATGTTCTATCGAAAGCTCCGATTTGTCGAGCTCTCCGAATGGGCATGTCACATCCAGTGACTGCCAGTAGGAGATGTACAGCAGATGGCGCTAGTGCGCATGGGCAGAAAATCCTTGTGGAGCTGGAAGGAAGCTTGGGGGGTGTATATAAACCCCCCAAAAAATAAAATGTAATACATGGTAGTTTATTATTCCTTAGATGTGGTTGCTGCATTCATTTTCTTTTTTCACCCGGTGATCTGGCCAATAACACATTTCCTGTCCTACACGTTGTACTCTATCTATGGAGAAACCGCAATGTCACCCCAGGCTGCTCTTATTTTCACTACAAACAATTCTCGCTCTCTTCATTTAAGTTATATAGATGTTTGTTGTTGATTTCACTTTAAGTCCACAGGAAGCTACAAGTACATTGTATTTATATCAGGATATTCTGTACTTGCAGAAAATATACAGAGTCTAAACACCTACCACCATGTAAAATAAAGAACCTCCTGCAATGGGGCTACCCGCGCACTGCAAGGGTTAACTGCTCTTTTTTGTCTCAGGGACCTGTGTAAAGGTGCCCATACACTTTACAACCCTCGCAAGACTTTTGTCTTGTGAGGGTTGTAAAGTACTTAAAAAAACGTACAATCTGCCCATCTTGGACAGGCAGATCGTACTTGCGATCATCGCAAACCCGCCCCGAGTGGCGGGCTTGCGATGACTGCAATGAGGGCCGGGCTTACGATGACTGCAAACGGGCTGTGTGCGCACACCGGCCCGTTCGGCAGTTGTCGAACCAGCAGGCCACTAACTCGCCGAGAATCGTACGATTCCCGGCGGGTTTTCTAGCCTGCTGGTTCGATGGAAGACGTGCGACCGTACAGTAGAAACGGTCACACGCCTTCCATACACTGCCCGATTCTCGTACGATCGCTGGATTTCCCGCGATTCTCGTACGAGAATCGTGCAGTGTATGGGCACCTTAAAAGAGGACTACCTAATCCCCACTCCCTACAGGTTCAGCACCCAAACCCTTTTCCCCCGCTGGGCTCAGAGGCCTGCTGATGTCACTCCGTACAATGCAGGGTCCATTGTCCTTATTTATATCCGAGGACGCTGAGGGACAGTCCACAAGCCGAAGCAAAGGGAAAGTGGGGATCAGGTAAGTAAAAGTCCTTTATACAATACCCTAAAGCTGGCCATACGCTGTAAATATTTTTCTTCATTCAACCCGCGAGCTGAACGAGGAAAATATAACAGATTCTTCCATCAATGCTGAGGAGCCTTGATTGAGGAATCTCCCGCTGTCTTCATTGTGTAGTGACAGCAGCCGCCGGCCACCGTCACAATACACTAACAGAGTCAGCAATTCATTGATTTGTACAAAGATTTTCTGACTGGCTACTACGATCAGGCGATCGAGGGATGCCGGCCGCAAGAGTGCAGTCAGCGACACCCACTGTGCGAATCTCGGCCGGTTCACCAAGCAGCAGCCGCAAGAGTGCAGTCAGCGACACCCACTGTGCGAATCTCGGCCGGTTCACCAAGCAGCAGCCGCAAGAGTGCAGTCAGCGACACCCACTGTGCGAATCTCGGCCGGTTCACCAAGCAGCAGCCAATAGTCGCACAGTGTATGGCCAGCTTTAGACACTACCAAGCAGTGGAGGTGAAGTCTTCTATTTACAAATTGCTGATAGGCAGGTATGTTATGTCAGAACAGACTCTAAGTCTCTTCTGCCACAGAAGCTTCTACCTGCTGCTCAGCAATTTTTGTGTGTTTCGGTACACTGAGCTGTACATGCACAGGTCAGCGTACAGGCTTAGCATGCAGACATGAAGTAATACATGCGGAGGAATGACATCATCGGGGCCCGGCAAATCAAGTGGCAGAAGAATCATAACCCGGAAGACGACTGGGACGAAGATGAAAGTGCCGGCACAAGAAGAGGTCGCAGCCATCGCTGAAGAGGATCGCTTTGGTAGGGAAGTCTCCCATAATGTACCAATACGATACGAACACATTCGGGGGAATTGAGAATTACCTTTGTACCAGAATTCTGACACTAATGCAACCTAAGAAATGTCTGCTCCAAATTCTAAAACACGCTGCGCCATTTTCCGGACCTCTACTGACATCTGCATCAAATTCAAGTAGTTCTTATTTGCTCCGTATTTCATTCTGGCGCTGTGCTTGTGACATATTCAATAAATAAGTCCAACAAGCGCACCGCCGCACTCCTTACCGGAAAACCCCTTTGTGTTGGATGCAGATGGCGCCGCTCAAATCATTGAAGTAATAGGATGTCAGCAGCACACCAAAGATATCTGTTATAGCAAACGCCGTTATTGACACATATTCGCCATCCATGTGACAATACGCATCAATAAAGAATGTTCGCTATAACAGATATTTTCGGTGTGACGGTGACATCCTATTACTTCATATTCAATAAACTCTGACAGTACGGGAATAAGAAAAGTGATGCAAAGTAGGAACAAGTCCATTTTGGTGTAATTAGTCTATCTCACGCTTATATTGTATATGTCTGTCCCAGCATACCCCACATACCTCCGGGTACCACAATCCTGGAAACTAAGGATCCAACTCAGGGGCGTAACTAGAAATCACAGGGCCCCATTGCAAAATTTTGTATGGGGCCCCGTGATTGCTAGTTATGCCACTTGCAGAGCCCACCTGATATACGAAACAGCCCACCCGAGAGTGACACTGCAGAGCCCACCATAGACTCTCAATAGTGGGCTCTGCAGGGTCTCAGATGGGCTGCACACCTCTTACCTGTCAGCGCTGTCCGCCTCGGTGGTCCCCGCCTCCTCTTAGGTCGCTGGCCAGTGATATAAGAGGAGGCGGGGTTGCTCTTAGGCGGGCCCCGCCTCCTCCTTTACTCCAAATGCCGGCCTCTTCTGCCACAGCTGCTGGCTGTCACAGCTCCACAGCGGCTGTGAGGGAAAACGCGACGCGGGCGCTGCACACATCACTGACAAGTTGTCAGTGATCTTCACAGCCGCTGCTGAGCTGTGTCCGTGACAGCCAGCACCCTTACATGGCATAGCGACCCACACGGCATCAGAGGGATGCCCTGGCCGGGCCCCCCTGTGCTGGGCCCCATAGCGGCCGCCTGGGTCGCTATGGCGATTGTTATGCCACTGATCCCACTGGAATCTGTCCAAGACACATATGGGACACTTTGGACAGAGATAGACACATCTATGTACTTCATCAGTCCCAAAGTTCCTAGGGGCGCTTTATTATTTGTTCTGCTTGCGGTGTGAGAGTGGCCCCACTACAAGGGGAGCTTTGTTTTTTAGCCCCTCCATCTAAGGACCGGCAATATAGGACAATGGGGTTCTCAGGTTTAGATATGCCTTGATTCTCTTCAATCACTAAAGCTACAAAATGCATTGAGAACAATGGAGGGAGATTTATCAAAACTGGAGCAGACAAAATCTGGAGCAGCAGTGCATGGCAACCAATCGGCATCCATCTTTCATTTCCAAAGCGAAGAGAAGAGAGAAGCTAATTGGTTGCCATGGGCAACTGCTCCAGATTTTGATGAATCCGCCCCCTCCCATAACATGGACAGAGGTCAGACACGGGCACAGAAAATACAATGGAGGGAAGTTATCAAGACCGAAGCAATTGCCCATAGTAACCAATCAGCTTCTCTCAGTTTGTTGAGTTAACTTTAAAAATGAAAGAGAGAAACGGATTGGTCACTACGGGCAACTGCTCCAGATTCTGCCTGCTTTGGTTTTGACCCCCCCAATCTGTTCACTTCAGTGACATGAGAGATATTTCCAGGGACAAACCTGAGCATTCTCCTGAAGACCACCGAGTGCTAGCAGCCATTCCATACCCCGTGCCCCTTTCCTCCTCACTGCCACATAAGGACAGGTGCAATGAGCCACCATAAATAAAACCTGCCTTCCCACCCAGTACACACAGCTCATACACTGACAGCCGGGCACTCCTCAAAGCTCCGGCCGGATACCAGTGGGCACCGTGCCACCCCACCATGCCCAGGGCACAACGACCTGCTCCAGGCCTAACCAAGCTCCCCCATCCTCGCCCTGTACTGCCTACCTGTGCGGGGCAGATCCGCCTCCGGGGCCGACGAGCCTGACAGGAAGTTCTGAAGCCACAGCTCACCTCTATCCAGAGGGGAGGGGCCCGGGCCACGCCACGTGACGCAAACAAGGGCGAGGCTTCGGCATAGGCCGCACTTCCGATTGGTTGGAGTCTGACATGCCGGGCATTGCATTGTGGGAGTCGTAGTCCCCCGGGGTAGTTTGGGGGCCACTGAGAGGTCTTAGCAGGCGATGCCGGAGTTATTTTTAGACTTGGAGAGCTGTCACTTCTCCTCTGAGTCTGTCACTGCCGGAGGCGTTTAAACTCTTTTCTTCCCCAGCTAGGCTCGAACATCTATGACTGATCACACAGATGACGGAGAACAGAATTTCTCACCAACGATGTCCAGAGCTTTGGCCAACTTCCCAGTGACATTAGATTTTTGGAAAATGTCACAGTTTACATTACACTCCACTTGAGATGTGTTTCCACTACATGCAACTTGTTTGTTTTTTTTGGCAGAGCTGGTTGTGAAAATATCGATCGTAATGGGAAATAACGATCAGTATAGTAAATTGTTTAACTCTCATTATGACGTCTGTTTAGTTTTTTGTAGTAGCTGTGCATATGAAATATGTTGTAATTGAGGTGAGAGTGAATGGAGTGCGCGTAAAGTACAATAGAAAGATTAGCTTAGCGGTTAGCGATGACTTTATAAGGACGCATTCACACCTGCGCACGCAAAAAAAATGAATGCACGCTTTGGCACTCGTGACGGAAACCCAGCAAAATGCCCTATTTTTTGCGTTTGCAGTGGAATGGAACGCTGGCACAGATTTGATACGCGTCCGATCACACTGCGGGTGGGGGTGTGTGGAAGCGGTGCCATTGTATACAATGCACCGCCACGCCCCCTCCCGCCCCAAAACGCGAGGGGAAGTTTCTCCGCAATCGCAGTGCGTTCCAGCAGCTACTGCTCTGGAACGCACACGCTTTTGGTGTGAACAAGGCCTCAGTAGAACTAAAACAGTCCACAGTAGACATAATGTAACCCTCAGTAGGCATAAAGCAGTCCTCAGTAGACATAATGTGGTCCTCAGTAGACCATGCAGCCCACATTAGACATAATGTAACACTCAGTAGGCATAAAGCAGTCCTCAGTAGACATAATGTGGCCCTCAGTAGATATAATGTGGCCCTCAGTAGACCATGCAGCCCACATTAGACATAATGTAACACTCAGTAGGCATAAAGCAGTCCTCAGTAGACATAATGTGGCCCTCAGTAGATATAATGTGGCCCTCAGTAGACATAATGCGGCCCTCAGTAGACATAATGTAACACTCAGTAGGCATAAAGCAGTCCTCAGGAGACATAATGTGGCCCTCAGTAGATATAATGTGGCCCTCAGTAGACCATGCAGCCCACATTAGACATAATGTAACACTCAGTAGGCATAAAGCAGTCCTCAGTAGACATAATGTGGCCCTCAGTAGATATAATGTGGCCCTCAGTAGATATAATGTGGCCCTCAGTAGACATAATGTGGCCCTCAGTAGACATAATGTAACCCTCAGTAGGCATAAAGCAGTCCTCAGTAGACATAGTGTGGCCCTCAGTAAACCATGCAGCCCACATTAGACATAATGTAACACTCAGTAGGCATAAAGCAGCCCTCAGTAGACATAATGCGGCCCTCAGTAGACATAATGCGGCCCTCAGTAAACATAATGCGGCCCTCAGTAGACATAATGCGGCCCTCAGTAAACATAATGCGGCCCTCAGTAAACATAATGCGGCCCTCAGTAGACGTAATGCAGCCCTCAGTAGACATAATGCGGCCCTCTGTAGACATAATGCGGCCCTCTGTAGACATAATGCGGTCCTCAGTAGACATAATGCGGTCCTCATTAGACATAATGCGGCCCTCAGTAGACATAATGCGGTCCTCAGTAGACATAATGTCGTCCTCAGTAAACATAATGCGGCCCTCAGTAGACGTAATGCAGCCTTCAGTAGACATAATGCGGCCCTCAGTAGACATAATGCGGCCCTCAGTAGACATAATGCGTCCCTCAGTAAACATAATGCGGCCCTCAGTAAACATAATGCGGCCCTCAGTAGACGTAATGCAGCCCTCAGTAGACATAATGCGGCCCTCTGTAGACATAATGCGGTCCTCAGTAGACCTAATGCGGTCCTCAGTAGACATAATGCCGTCCTCAGTAAACATAATGCGGCCCTCAGTAGACGTAATGCAGCCCTCAGTAGACATAATGCGGCCCTCAGTAGACATAATGCGGCCCTCAGTAAACATAATGCGGCACCTCAGTAAACAAAATGCGGTCCTCAGTAGACGTAATGCAGCCCTCAGTAGACATAATGCGGCCCTCTGTAGACATAATGCGGTCCTCAGTAGACATAATGCGGTCCTCAGTAGACATAATGCGGCCCTCAGTAGACATAATGCGGTCCTCAGTAGACATAATGCCGTCCTCAGTAGACATAATGCGGCCCTCAGTAGACATAATGCGGCCTTCAGTAGACATAATGCGGCCCTCAGTAGACATAATGCAGCCCACTTGATTTTGTCTTTCTAATTTGGTCCTCTATTTCATCTGAGTTGAACATGCCTGAGCGAAATCTAGTACAGCTGCCTGTTTTACATCAAGACTGCTTCACTCTCCATAGAATTCTATGGTAATGCAAAAGCAGCTTGCGGCAGGTCAGAAGGAGGTCACCTGTAGGTCAGATGTACCTGTCAATGAATTGTGAATGTTCTCAGAAGTGTCCCAAACTGATGTCCTAAGAGCCTCATTGCTACAGACCGGGGCCCATCGACACAGGCCCTAACACTAACTTGCCCTCCCTAGCCCTCCTGAATAGGGATGAGCTTCTGGGTTCATATTGACCATGAGCTGGATCCGAACCCAACCCATGGACAACTATGAAGATTTCTGGCCGAGAGGCTATATCCACCAGAGCATGTAAGTAAGTAGCTGTGCTACCGAGGTAAGTAAGCAGCTGGGATGGGGGGTTCAGTTTAGGTGAGTTCAGGGGTGCTACCGGGTGGGTCAGCATTACTTGGGTGCAGCTGTATTTCAAGGCCTAATGTCAGTCAAAATGTTTGTTTTGATTTTTGGATTGAGTGGGGAAAAGTTGATATTTCTGTCTGTGACCCCCATTGAGGAGATTTGCCTCACTTTCTGTCCCGATGGCAGACAGTGGGACAAGAAGGCACGAACAGCGATGAAAACATTTTCAGAAGTTCTAAAGCGTCCCCACTCTGCTGAAAATGTGTTTGTTTTTTAGATTCCTCCCATTTGTCTACTCGTTTCAAAGATCTCCAGACAGGAAGTGAGGGATAATTTCCCCAAACAGAACACATACCGTATGGCAAAAAAAAACTTTACAGAGTCTCCAATGCTTCCCCACACCATCCATAATAAAATGTTTTAGTTTGATTTGGGCTCCAGAGTACAAACTGAGTAAATAGAAATGACTTTAGGCTCACAGACACTGTCTGCTACCATGTACAAAATAGCAGGACTCATGAAATGGGGCATTCCAGAGTCTGGCCAGTGGCTTCCATTTCACTTCTGTATTTTCACCACAGACCTGTATGAGGCAGAGACACTGTCTGCATACCTCTGTGTGGGCTGCTAATCAGTGCCTCTTCCTCACACGCAGCCACCAGGAAGATTAGGTTTAGGAAACTCATTTTATGTTGTATGTTACATGCAAATACATTGAAAGGGTCTTTACTAGAAATGAGCTTTGGGTTCGGGTAGACCATGAGTTCAACCTGGACTCAAACTGTCTCTATGATTATCAGTTTGCCTGGCAAATTTTTTTTTTGTGTCCTAGCAACAGAAAAATGTTTGTGTCCGAGCAACTAGTGATGCCTTCCACACAGCATCACTGGTTGCTAGGACACATGCGACTGGGTTGCACAGGTCAATGTTTACTAGGATGCAGGGCGGCACACCGACAGCCTATGATGCAGTGGGGCCACCAGAGTCATAGCAACCAGTGGCGTCACAGTGGGGGTGCACCCGGGTGACACCAAAATGACGCAGTCATTTTGGTGTCACCCCCCTCTGAAAATTTGGGCGCTCGGTCATGGACCGAACTCCCGAAAGTATCAGGAGAGAGAGGAGGGAATAGTAATGGAGCCCTCAGTAGACATAATGCGGCCCTCTGTAGACATAATGCGGTCCTCAGTAGACATAATGCGGTCCTCAGTAGACATAATGCGGCCCTCAGTAGACATAATGCGGTCCTCAGTAGACATAATGCCGTCCTCAGTAGACATAATGCGGCCCTCAGTAGACATAATGCGGCCTTCAGTAGACATAATGCGGCCCTCAGTAGACATAATGCAGCCCACTTGATTTTGTCTTTCTAATTTGGTCCTCTATTTCATCTGAGTTGAACATGCCTGAGCGAAATCTAGTACAGCTGCCTGTTTTACATCAAGACTGCTTCACTCTCCATAGAATTCTATGGTAATGCAAAAGCAGCTTGCGGCAGGTCAGAAGGAGGTCACCTGTAGGTCAGATGTACCTGTCAATGAATTGTGAATGTTCTCAGAAGTGTCCCAAACTGATGTCCTAAGAGCCTCATTGCTACAGACCGGGGCCCATCGACACAGGCCCTAACACTAACTTGCCCTCCCTAGCCCTCCTGAATAGGGATGAGCTTCTGGGTTCATATTGACCATGAGCTGGATCCGAACCCAACCCATGGACAACTATGAAGATTTCTGGCCGAGAGGCTATATCCACCAGAGCATGTAAGTAAGTAGCTGTGCTACCGAGGTAAGTAAGCAGCTGGGATGGGGGGTTCAGTTTAGGTGAGTTCAGGGGTGCTACCGGGTGGGTCAGCATTACTTGGGTGCAGCTGTATTTCAAGGCCTAATGTCAGTCAAAATGTTTGTTTTGATTTTTGGATTGAGTGGGGAAAAGTTGATATTTCTGTCTGTGACCCCCATTGAGGAGATTTGCCTCACTTTCTGTCCCGATGGCAGACAGTGGGACAAGAAGGCACGAACAGCGATGAAAACATTTTCAGAAGTTCTAAAGCGTCCCCACTCTGCTGAA